ATGTTTTGCAAACTAAGCCAGCATCTCTTCAGTTTTAGGTAAATAAGAAAAGCCTTCATTCAGCTGGCTGAACATCCTTGGATGATTGCATTTTCATAGAATAGTAAGGCTCATCAGAAGTCAGAACAACTTGTCCAGTATGATACTTGTGGCAGAAGTCTATTATCAAATAAATGAAAATAATTTAAAATTGGCATAACTGTCAAAAAAACCTTCAAACAAAATTAAATAATCATTTAAGTCACTAACATTTTATTACAATTAATCAAAGCCTGAATATTTTATAATGAATCAGTTGAACCTCTAAAAATCTATTTTCATTCCATGAAGTCATCCATTGGACGAAAATAGTTAGTCATTTTTTCCTCTAACAAAAGCTCAACCGGTGAAAATAGATGTTGTAGTGTTTAAATGATTGCAAAAAAAGGATAAAGGCTTAGATGAATATTGAATTTTAGTTCAAGATTTTTTTTTTTTGTCCTTTGTCTTTAAAATTTGTCTTGTTCTTATCTTATGTTTGGAGGGTACTAAATCATAACCATTTTTACTGAGACCCACTAATTAGATTGAATTGGGCACCAACAACTCAACCTCCCTGTGCTGTGAAAAGTTAACGTCTATTTTGCCTTGCCTGAAATCCGGAATAAATTGCATTCTGAGCACCCACAGGGCACCTCAGATGAGGAAAGTTTTGCTTAAAACATTTCAGTAGTAATTCATAATAGAGATTTATCCTCAACTAGTTAAAGGAAGAAGTTGACATGCAAGAGGGGCCGAAGAATTTATAGAAGCGAAACTATTGCAGTTGTGGAGCAATTCTTCATCGGTGATTTTTATTTTACTGGTTCTGCTTGTATCGATGAGAGAAATGCAAATGCAGGAAAGCATCTTTAAGTTGAACAGTTGAGCGCATAGTAGGTGTAGAAGGAGCCTTGGCATGACTTGCAGATGTACCTGCATCTAGCGATTAAGTATGATTTGCAAAGATCTAGATTCTAAACAATTATTTGAGAGAGCATTTAAGGATTTAGTATGAAATATTAATGATTACCACTGCTGACAAAGTACTAGATATGTAATAATTTGAAATGAAATATTCAATTATCTTTTACAGTTAGGATTTTAATATATAAGATTTTGAGTATTCAAACAGTAAGTGTTTTTGTGCTTTGGAAATTTCGCATTGACAAACACCAACCATTACTTTTCCAAAATAGTGTCCTAATTTCAACACTTTGCACCATTCCAGCATCATTTCTCAGCGAACTCTTATTGACTTATTCCTAAACTTACATTCATAAATGCAGTGAAGAGGTAACCCTATCGGAGTAGTTTCAGTTTCCGTTGCTCTGCTGGTTAATTTGAATGGAAAGCTAAAGCAAATGCAGGAATGTGTCTTTACCAAATGAAAAAGCTATGCCATGGCATAATATCGATATGCTTTTTTACGGAATTATATATAGTTGGCAACTTGCCAGATTGGCAAGCATATAACAGTTAGATATGATTTGCCAGAATTACTTAAATGATTTGAATAATTGTTAAATTTCTAATCGAGCTCCTATTTAACTCTTGAATTATCCTTCCGTTCAGCAGACGGACCAAGTCATTTCTATTTTTTTTTTCTATGAAAATCTGCTTTCCATGAAAGACTGCAAAGTCAATGATTTTGGCATGTCTGTGACAAAAAGGTCTATGGAATTAATTCTTGGTTCTGCCAAGACGTCGAAATATTTAGAAAACAGACTGCTACTCTTGACATGGACATTCAACCAACCTAATAGTCAAAGGCTAAGGCTTCTGCAGTCTCCTCTCTTCTTCCAACTCTTGCAGCAGAATATTGCAGCAATTGGTGCATAATCATGACGCTGCATATCTATTTCAACACCGTAAAATTTCCTTTCTCGCCTGAGCTTCAAACCTCATCTTCAATATCTGTTGCTTTCTCCCTGCTATATATTCTTGGCGTACAAAAGAGCTGAAAATTCATATTTTTATATAATATAAAATATTAAAATTTATATATTCATTTTGTATTTTATATAAAAATTATATGTCTTGATATAAAAATATAAAATATATTTTTTATTTTATTAAATATATTTATAATTATTATTAAAATTTTAAATTATATCATTTTTATATCTTTTTATATCATATTTATATTATATTTTAAATTACCAAATCTAATCTACACAACACATCCTACTAACATCGGCTTTTTTCCTTTTGTAGTAAACACCAGTTTTACCCCAAGACTTATTCGATAATCATATAATCAATGGCAACATTCACTAATTTACTTTTAGACAAACTGGCTATTCTCCCTATTAATACTATCGTATAAAATTAGTATTAGTTAGATGAAATTCCATGGGGAAAGACAATTGAAGAAAACAACTTATGGTCCAAGAAAACTAAAGAATAATGATGGGATGGGACAAAAGATGATACATCAGTTTCACATGTATTTCACCTAAAGGACAGGAATATTTCACATGCATCAGGTCCAACCAGACTAATAGGTGTGAATAAATAAACGCCGGTCTTGGTTGAGCATTAGTTCTTAGAACGAACGGGCATTTGTTTCTCATGGGACAGTTGAAATATGAACAAGAAAGTCATTTTGGATTTAAGATATTATGGAACTTTACCCACTCTCCACTATCTAGTCTATCTTCTGCATTAAAGGGTCATTTTGCCCCTTCAATCTGCTGCTAGAATTTATTGGTACGGTTCTCGACTTTCTTAAATGTTATTATTAATAGCTGGCAGAATCCCATCAAAACAATATTCATAAAGTAGTGATTCCAGTCAAACTATAGTTTAATTTTGTGTTATTATATATCTTTAATTTTTGAGATTAGCAAGTGAACGATGGACCTATTAATTGTAAGGTTGATAATACTTGTCAAAACCAGATAAGTTTAACCATGACTTGATTCAGGAGGAGCTAATAGCTTATTCATAGGCCATGCTAATATAATCCGAAACCCATATATACACCAAAAACATCAAAACCAAATTATCCAATAAATGGAAAGCATGCATGTGAATCCGCCAGAGAACCTGGTATGATTTGGAGAATATGGTTCCAAGAGTCCAAGTCAAAGAGACCCGTCGTGGCCGTGACACTAGCAAAAATTTTTTCGAAGAGTTCCACTCCGCTCCAACAGAGCCCTGGAAAATGTGGGGCTGACGATGGGCTGCTCTTTGGGCAGAAAGTCTCTCCATTGTCCTATCTCTCTCTCTCTTAAGTGTATGAAACCCATGAAAAACGGGACCCATCTTCAAACCGTCATTCCATTTCCATGTCTTATTAAGGGATAAATAAGTGCCTGTGATCCTAGTCTGTTCTTGTTGCTACTCATGTTTTGTCCACAGCTCACATTTTTAACATTGTTTACTTAGGTCTTTATGCTTACTTTTTTTTTTTTTAACTTTATCCTTTGTTTTCTGGTTTGGTTTGGCTGCTCTTGTTTCCACTAAAGTAGTAGCAGTAGTTACTTTCACGTTCAAAAACAAATCTGTTCCATTGCTTAAAAACTACTCCTATGTCTATTATAATGTTAAGAACAGTTTTGACTCTTATAATTGCAATGTCTCGTAATTTTAAGTGTTTAATTACATATTATGTATAAGTTAAATTAAATATAGAATGTACAAAAAATAATTAAAATTAAACATTATATAATGTTTCGTAATTTTCAGTTTCTAGATCCAATGACCAATAACTCTTAATGTTTAGACATGAGTTTTTAACCTCATCATGTGATGTTACTGTTCAAAAGTCATTTACTATAATTGATCTCAAAATCAAATAAAAATAAAATTTTATTAAAAAGAAAAAGAATGTTTCCAACAATGGATTATGATAAACCATCTTTTGGGAAGTAAATTCGATATTAGTCATAAACATTAAATGATTGAATTTGGAGGAAAGCTATGTTTCAGATTAATAAGGTCTGAAAATCCGTGATGAATTAAAACCCAACATTCATCCGTGACGAATAAGAAAGAATTCCAGGAACAGTGACTTGTCAGTTTGTGACTTTGTCAATGTCTTCAAGCTCATATATTTGAAATTGTCAGTCGATTAGTTTTCAACTTTTCTGACTTTGAAAAAGAAGGGAGAAGAGAGAGGCAAATGATGTCGAATTGTACCATAATTTTATCTCAACCAAAGACTTTGGATGCCATACTTTTTTTTATACTTTATCGCACCAAATTGTTTGTAGCCTGTTTAGTGAGAGAAACTCTAAAATCCTTTTATTTGGCCTTCATTTTGTTAAATCCAAGAGCCTTTTATTTAATTGCCACATTATTTGCAGTTTGAGTTGTTTCCTTCAGCATTTGGTTCTCAGTTTTATTAAAATCAGAATGATTGGGCTGGTTTGAAAATTGGAACAATTGGGTTTTCTTTTTCACCAATAAGGGGGAAAAGAAGGGAAGCCTGAAAATGATAGTATTTGGTTTAATAACTTTGACTTCAGTTTTCCATGTTTCAAAATAGAATCACTACAAAAGGTCAAAATAAGATTAGCTGGCAATCAGCCTAGTGATATACTAGTATTATGGAGTATAAAATAAAATAGTAAAAAGCCAATCCTCATGACAAGAGTACAGCAAAACATGATCCCTTTATTTGATTTTTGTTCTGGTTTTTTGACACGAATTTCCTTCTACGTGAAAGGAGAATAAAATCATAATCTCAGCCAATAAGAAAGGAAAAGATTAGATATTTGTAATTAACTGTTAACAAGTCTCGGGGGACTGCTTAATTTCATGTTCTCATAACTGGTTAAAAGTACACAACTGAGAATAGTGAAGAAATAAGCCAGGTGTGAATTGTTGTTGGTCTGATTATATTAATTTAAGCGTGGCCAGCAGCTTTGCATCAACGCCAATCAAGTCTTTGGTTTGATTTTTCCAAGTTAGCTAAAACTTGAAAAACAAGAAGCTACCCAAAGTCTTCTAACAAAATAATGATAGTAGAAAGCCGACAAAAAAGAACGCGTTTTATGCAGAGTGTAGACTGTAGTGAATGTTCAACAAGCCACAATAAATAAAGTACGCGGCGGATTACCTTCGACGGTGATCATCCCATACTCTGCCTCTCATCCCCCATTCTACACCTTTTTGTTGCCATTCTTTGACAAAAAGGGTGGTCTTTGGTCGGCCACCATTCGAACAGGATATGCCAAAACCTCATGCTTTCTGAGCCTGCCCTCACCTCAACCTACTCCCGTTGCCATCTTCCTCATATTTCCTAGTTGTGTAGATATCACTCGTTACCGCTACTGATGAGGATTTCACTCTTTTCATGGCTTATACCAGTTTTCTTTAGCATCAGTGTTGTTTTGGTTTCTGGCCAATGTCAAAGCGATCAGAGACAGTTGTTGCTCGAATTGAAAAGCAGCTTCAATTCTGCTTCTTTAGGAAAGTTGGTGAATTGGAATCAAACCACGGATTGCTGTTCTTGGGATGGTGTAAGTTGCGAAGCCGATGGTCGGGTTATTGGCCTTGACTTGAGCAACCACTTAATTTCTGGTACAATCAACAAATCAAGTAGTCTTTTCCGTCTTCAGCATCTGCAGCGACTCAATTTGGCTCACAACAGACTCATCTTTGCTTTTCCCTCCGAGTTTGACAAGTTTGCAAATTTGAATTATCTTAATTTGTCAAATTCTGGCTTTAAAGGGCAAATTCCAGCTGAGATTTCACGCATGACAAGTTTGGTTACTCTTGACTTATCTACAAATTTTTATCTTGGACAGTCCTTGAAACTTGAGAAGCCAAACCTAAAGATGCTTGTTGGAAATCTCACGAGGTTAAGATTTCTCCATCTTGATGGCGTAAATATATCAGCTAGTGGAAAAGAGTGGTGTCAGGCCTTATCGTCACTGACCAATTTGCAAGTGTTGAGCATGTCCAACTGTTATCTTTCAGGACCTATAGATTCCTCCTTTTCCAATCTTCGGTCTCTCTCAGTAATCCGCTTGGACAGCAATAATTTGTCTGCTCCACTTCCAAAATTCTTTGCAGATTTTCGAAATTTAACTTCCCTTCGTCTTAGTGCTACTGACCTGACTGGAAGAGTCCCGGAAGAAGTCCTCCATGCAACTACATTACAGACTCTCGATTTGTCCTACAACAAATTACTCAAAGGTTCATTTCAAGATTTTCCTCTGAATACATCTCTTCAGACATTGGTACTTAGTGACACAAATATAGGTGGGCAACTACCAGAATCTTTTGGTAACCTTGGGCAATTGACAAGAATAGAGCTCGCACGTTGCAATTTCAGTGGACCAATACCTGAATCGATGCTACAACTTACACAGCTTGTCTATCTGGATTTTTCAACCAACAAATTTTCTGGTCCAATGCCATCGTTCTCATCATCAAGAAATCTCACACAGCTAAACCTTGCTTTTAATCAGCTAAATGGCACAATTCGTTCCACGGAGTGGTCAGGCCTTTCTAAGCTAGTAAGTGTTGACTTACGAAACAACAAGTTAAGAGGAACCATTCCACCAACTTTGTTTGCCGTTCCATCACTGCGGAAAATTTTCCTTTCCCAAAATCAATTCAGTGGTAGCCTTGGTGACCTCCTTGGTAAGGCCTCTTTACTGCTTGATACCCTTGATATAAGCAGCAACAATTTACAAGGGCAATTTCCAATGTCTGTATTTGAACTTCAAGGTATTAAGATCCTGACACTTTCTTCTAACAACTTCAGTGGCTTCATAAAATGGTATGACATTCAAAAGTTGAGGAATCTTTCCAATCTTGATCTGTCATATAACGACTTGTCTATTGATGCAAGTCCTACTAATTTTGCTTTGTCTTCCTTTCCCAACATTACCACATTAAAGCTGGCTTCCTGCAACTTGACCAAATTCCCTGCTTTCTTGAAAACTCAAGCCAAGTTAAACCATCTAGACCTTTCAAAAAACCAGATTGTGGGGGAAATACCAAATTGGATTTGGGAAATTAAAAGCCTTGCTTACTTGAATCTTTCTCAGAATTTTCTTGCAAAATTTGAAGGACCTTTGCAGTATATTTCTTCTTCTCTAATTGTTGTTGACCTTCATGCCAACCAGCTCCGAGGGAAAATACCAAGTTTTCCACCATATGCCACCTATCTGGATTACTCAAACAATAATCTCAGCTCTCTTTTGCCACCTGAGATTGGTGACTCCCTCCAGTTTGCAATTTTCTTCTCCCTCTCAGGTAATAACTTTATTGGGAGTATCCCCGGGTCGCTATGCAATAGTTCATATCTTCAAGTACTTGATCTATCTAATAATTCCCTGAGTGGGCCAATTCCTCAATGCTTGACTCAGATGAGTGTGTCTCTTGGAGTACTGAATCTAAGGCGAAACAATCTCAGTGGCATCATTTCTGACACATTTCCAGAAAACTGTCGATTACAAACCCTAGATCTCAATCGAAACCAAGTGGAAGGAGAGGTTCCGCAATCATTGGCCAATTGTAAAAAGCTGGAGGTTTTAGATATTGGCAACAATCAGATCAACGGCATGTTCCCATGCCATTTGAAGAATATAACCAAGTTGCGTGTCCTTGTTTTACGATCCAACAAATTCAATGGTAACATTCATTGTCCTGGGAACAATAGTGCCTGGCCAATGCTTCAGATTGTCGACGTAGCATCCAACAATTTTAGTGGCAAACTGCATCAAACATGTTTGGCGACCTGGGAGGCTATGCAGGCTGTCGAAAATGAAGCCCAATCAAAGCTCAAACATCTTCAGTTTAAATTCCTAAAACTCAATCCATATTACTATCAGGACTCAATAAAAATTACCATGAAAGGTTTAGAGTTTGAGCTGCAGAAGATCCTAACCGTGTTTACCTCTATTGACATTTCATGCAACAACTTTGAAGGGCCAATACCAGAAGTGATCTCAACATTCAATGCACTTTATGTCCTTAACTTTTCACATAACGCTTTTGCAGGGACAATCCCATCATTTTTAGGAAACCTGCGACAGCTTGAGTCCTTGGACCTCTCAAGTAATAACTTAGATGGTGGGATCCCTTTCCAGCTAGTAAACCTCAATTTCCTTTCATTCCTTAACGTCTCAAACAATAAGCTAGTGGGACGGATCCCAACGAGCACCCAGCTTCAATCATTTTCAGAAGCTTCATTTGAGAACAACACAGGATTGTGTGGGCCTCCTCTAAGTGTACCGTGTCAAAATGCACCAAATATACCAGAATTTCGATCAACGGATGGATTTGATTGGCAGACCATATTCATTGGGGTGGGCTTTGGTGTAGGTGCAGCAGCATTTGTTGCACCCTTAATATTTTGGAAGAGTGCAAGTAAATGGGTCAATGATAATGTCGATAAAATCCTTGCGGTGATCCTTCCAAAGGTGGGTCTGATTTACACACGTCCTGATGATGCAAAGTTTGAGGCAGAAGAAAATCTTGAAGGAGACAACACAGAAAATGACGATGAAGCAGAAGAAAGCAAGGCAAAAGAGGCAAAAGGTGAAGAATTTCGTGGGAGATACTGTGTGTTTTGCTCCAAACTTGACAAAACTAGGAAGAAGGTAATTCATGACCTATGTTGCACCTGCTATGATTCACCATCTTTATCTCCTTCTTCTTCCACATCTTCTTCCTTTTCTCCTCAGACCCTTCACTTGTTTTTTGGTTTAGTTTGTATGTTTTGTATATAGATAAGGAAAGAATCAATTCTGGAAATGGGGTGATAAGAAATGAACATGTAACTCCGGATCCTCAATAAATAATTCAAAGCAACTTTTCCTCTCAATAGACTCAGTCAGAGGCTCTATCTGCCTGTTGCTAAACTTCCCTCACAAGCAAATACACGATATGACAAGAACAATAATTTTCGTTCAGGAATTTCGCCGAACACTTGAAGACTCGTAGATGCTAAAACTAGTCATGAAATTTAAGCACAATCTGAGAGTACAATAACACTTAGATTTTAGGAATTAGGATGTGCCTATTGCCATTCTCTTGATGTGCATATATCAACGGCCTTGAATCAGTGTGTGGGTCTAAAAAACAGTGTCCTCGTTCCCTCTGTTGTTGATCGGCCGGACATTTCCCCTTCATGAGTTGATCGACGGAATGTTGGGGCATTCCATGTTCTAAATTAGCTAGAGCTCTGGAGCCCATTTATTAGTTAGTATGTTCTCTTTTATAAAGAGAACAAATCAAGGACATTGTCAAGAACATGTGGCATGGGCTGAGTTGGACTGCAGGAGATACAGTTAACAAATGACTTTTGTATTGGTCGAAATCTTAATATAACTATAGTATAAAAGGCTGCTATTAGAATATTATTCTTTGATATCTTATAAAGATGATGAAATAATTGTATTTTAACAGATTTTCTGGTAGTTTTGAATAAATAAAATTAAAGCTTGTAAAGAAAAAAAAGTTCTGTATCTGGAGCTTCATGCATTTCTCTATGCAATATTTGTTTTCTATTTCTTTTCTTGTACTGGTCACTATGGTTAAATATTAGTATACCTTAGATATCTCGCTAATTACTATATCAAATCTTAGTTTAATTTGAATTTATTATTAGGTTTCGTCAAATAAAGCTATCCTTGCATTTCGAACCAAGGTTTCACTTTAGTATAATTCAAGTTAGTAAATTTCAACAAATTTTTTAAATGGATTTTAACATGATGAAAAGATTTAGCCATTTTTTACATAGATCAAGCGAATACTATGTATCTTTTCAAAACCAAAAACATATATTTTATAGTTAATATAATAGATTTTATTCAAATGATAATTTAAATTTTGTCACAACAATAGTTTTTCTTTTATACAATATTAATGCATTATTTGAATCAATTTTTTCCATTAAACTTTATATATTTTATAAAATCAAAGAAATGGACGAAAATTATTATTTTTTATTTTTTAACGTTTAAGAATTTTTTTGTTAAAAATATATTTCAATTAAGATTTATATTAATTAATTTATAGTTACAAAGTTCCATCTTCCGTACCTCCCAAACCCCAAACTTCCCAGAATTTTCCATCCCTTTCGCGAGAAAACCAAAAGGTAAGATCAATCAAATGGCCACTAGGCTCGTCCTCCGTCTGAGATCCTATCTCCTCCGCAAGCTCCACAACCAGAAACCATCAACTCTCTCTGCCCTTCAATCTCCACCGTAGATCGCGCATCTCGCGCCTCTTTCCATCGCCACCATTGACTATTTCTTCACACCCTCCACCCTCCGCTTCCTCTCCACTTCCTCCCGCCGCATCCCCGCTCAAAAAAGTCGACATCGGGGCCCAAGCTCGCCAACCCCAGACCCGCCGCCTCCGGACCTACGCCTTAACCTTCAGTTGCATTGCGGGCTTTGTAGTTTTAGTTCTCAACAATTTTCAAGAACAATTAGTCTTTTACGTTACCCCAACCGACGCCACGCCCTCAAAAAATACACGAAAGACCCATCAAAAACAAAGTTTAGACTCGGCGGTCTGGTTCTGGAAGGAAGCGTGGTTCAGCCGGCTTCTTCTAAAGAAATGGAGTTTGTCATTACCGATTTGATAACCGATATGTTGATTAGGTACGAAGGTTCCTTACCAGATTTGTTCAGAGAGGGACATTCCGTTGTGGTTGAAGGATTTGTTAAGCCGTTTACTGAAGAGATTAAAAGGGACGTTTCGTCGAGAAGCGTTTAAGCGAAAGCTAGGAGCGGAGACTGTTATTTTTCGGCGACTAAGGTTCTTGCCAAGCATGATGAAAAGTATATGCCTAAAGAGGCTGCAGCTGCTATTGAGAAGAACAAGAAGAAGACTGAGGAAGGGCTGGAAGGAGCTAGGGAATCGGTCGCTTGATTGGTATGACCCACTTTTGATAATGAAGTTAACATGAGATTTACGATTACGACCAAAGCAAAGCACATCCAGATCTATATATGAAGCCACGTGTTTTTTTTTTTATCTTCTTTTTCCATCATTGCTAGTTTTAGCAGATGAAATTAAAAAAAAAAAAAATTGTCGTACTGATTTTCTAAAAAAAGAAAAGAAAAAAAAAAACTTCCAATTTATTAAAACTCGAGATAAACGACACCGTTGGAAGTATTGGCTTAGATTAAATAAGATTTTGCCTTTGGATTGGACCTTAGTTATGTAAAATGGAGCCGCCTGAGCTCTAATCCCACATGGAAACCGACCGAACCGACAGACCCAGTGTTACCATTCACCCAAATCTTTGGGCTGGAAAAAGCACGCTCTCCTTCTTCTTCTTCTTCTTCAGTTTCTTTTCGTCTTGCTGGTTAGATTTATAGTCAAATATTCCTTCAACTGATATAAAGAAAAGAATTATCGCACGCTTTTTTTTCCCAAATGAAAAATCCCAACGCCGAAAGCGAAGAAACGGATCGCGAGGTGAGACCAGGAGGCATTATGGTCCAGCGAAGAGACGACCTCGATGAAGATGATGATCTTCATAACAAACACACACAATCACGAAACTGCTGCTGCTTCTTCTGGAGGGCCCATGATCAAGATCAACGTCATGCGTGGCCCGGCCCAGCACCAGCTCTATGTCCCCGCCCATTCTACTTTCGGTAACTTGCTTGTACTTAATTCTTTCCTCAAATTAAAACACAAAGAGGACTTCTTTTTTTATTTTTGAGGTTAATATTGTCTTCATGCCCGTGCTATTGGAGCTATGGTGTGGATAAAGAATGAGGCGTAATTAGGGTTTTTGTCGTTTGCTTCCGCCTTTCATATGGGTCTTGGGGCTTCCACTCCTAAGCCTGCTTCTGGTATTACTCTCTGTTTTTTTAATGCAGTTATTAAGTTCGTAAATGGATTCTTATTTTGTGTGAACTTAAGATTAGTATCACATGTCTGTAAAATTTGTCTGTTTATTGCCATTTTAACTTCAAGATTTTCTGTTTTGGTCACCAAATTTTTAACATTTCTCAAAAATTTTGAAGACTTGTTTGATTGGTGGATTGGATGTTTTCAGCTTGGTAAAAAGAAACTATGTTTTCCTGTTATGAATTATGATTTATTGTATTGATACAAATTCATGTGTTCTTGTATTCATTGAGTGATGGCAGGGGAATTGAAGAAAGAAATTGCTCAAAAAATGGGTTTGGAACCTGATAAACTAAGGGTTTTGTTCAGAGGGAAACAGAAAGAGGGCAAGGTGCATTTGCACTTGGCTGGTGTGAAAGATAATTCGAAGGTTTTGGTTCTAGAGAATCCAGCAAGCAAGGAGGAGAAGGTTGAGGGGATGACGAGTAGCAAAGAGAAGGCTGAAGAGACGACAGCTAGCAAAGAGAATAAGGTTGAGGAGATGAAGGAAAGTGGAGAAATGTCAAAGGCTTTTGCGGCAGTTGCTGGCATCAGCAAAGAGGTTGACAAGCTTTCTGAGAGAGTGAGTTTCTTAGCTTGTTGTATTTATTAGTATGGACAGTGAAGCCTATATAATAAATTGAGACTTAATTGGATTTTTTTTTTCTATATTTTGTTCATTTGGATAGGTGGCTGCATTAGAAGTGGCTGTGAACGGTGGAACCAAGGTTGCAGATGAGGAATTTGATGTATCAACGGAGTTACTAATGAGAGAGCTGCTGAAATTGGATGGGATTGAGGCTGAAGGAGAAGCAAAGTTACAGCGGAAGGCTGAGGTTGGTATTGTAGGAATTGAGGTTTATCAGATTTTGTTTTTGGACAATATTCACATGTTGCATCATTTTTGTTGCACTCATTTATTGCGTCATTTGCTATCTAAAAAAAGTCGAACTTAAACCAATTTTTTTGAGATTGGTCAACTATAGTCCTTATGGATGAATATCAATGTGTATTTATATCCTTTTATCTAAGCTAAGTTGTTTCTAGCCCATGCCCTGTATTATATGTTGTTAGAAACGATTGTGAAATGTAATGTCCAGTCTAGCTATTTTGGATTGAAAGATTAGGCCTTGGGAATGCGTTGCAACCGGAATCCTTGTTTCCATGTTTTATCATTGGGAATGTGGTTAGTAAGTCTTAAGTTATTGCATTTTTATGCCAGCCGAGAACTACTCTACGTGAGAAATATAGGACCATTATTGCTTGATATTTCAATCAAATTGCCTGGTAAATGGAAGATATCCAGTCCCTGGTTCCAATGGTCTTCTCTTTTGGAAATGCTGTGTGTTGCCTTGATATTGACACCTGTTGTAAGGAGAATACTGCTATTTTTCCTTGGAACTCCTTTAGTTGGTGATGCTGTAACTTGCCACTCCTTGTAATGACCGAGCACTAGCAAATCCATGACAGATCCTCCTCCTTATATTTTGCACTATAAACCTGTTACAAGAGAATACAAGTGTGGAGGCAACACATAAGCATGTAGACATAGTCATGGCAATGTACACTTCATGCACAATTCTCACAGCACATAAAAATCTTTTGCTTTGTGCTGAAAGAGGAAAGGATTTTATGCAATTATTATTTTCAGCGTTGTATAATATTTTGTGGGATCATGTGTCAAGCTTACAAAATTGTAAATTCTGTATCTAGCAAATGAGTTGCGTATATGCTGCTGTCTGCTGTTATATCGACTCATTGCTCCCTTGATCAGGTGCATCGTGTCCAAAACTTCCATGAGACACTGGACAAATTGAAGGCAAGAAATTCCGATCCTTTTAGCAACAGTAGCAAAGCTGTGTCGTGACAACAAAATGGGAGACATTTGACTCTGGAATGGGAAGCTTCACTGCCCCTCCTCCTATGTCATCTTCAACAAATATGACGCAGGATCGGGAACAGCTTGATTAGTTAATTTTTTTCCAATTCTTTGGCCTATAAAACATATCTGTGGAGCAGAACATATGTATCATGAATGGATTCTTAACGATCGGGATATAATACTTAAATTGAATGGTCTTAAATTAGTGCCTTATGAATTGTTCCATTAGTTGTAGTTGAGCTGTTAACTAGCCTTTTACCATTTTCGAAGTATCTTGGAGATATTCAGTTCACATGAAAGGGATCATATGACCCATTAGATGTGTTTATACCCTTAGAAATGGTCTCTTAAGCAGGTTTGTGGACTCAACTCATGCTTCTCTGCTTTATTCTCGTTCTGTTTGCCCTCGGACTCAAATCTTACAGGTTGCACGAACAAGTTTACTCATAACAAGAGATGTGTCCTTGATCTCTAGTAACGTCAGGTGGGATCCACTTCCCAAGGTTTTTATATAGGATTTGGGAAGAATAAGAATGCAGATTCCAACCAATTGGCTTTCTTTCACTCGAAAACATAACATTTGCTGCATGTATCCTTCTGTTGAACAACTTTTATGGGATATAAATGCAATGGGGTTCAAAAAAGGAATGGTATATTAGGAGAAGAGGACGCATGGGGGGCCCAAAGGTAACTAGCGTGAATCATGGATTCTGCAGATAGAGCCCGCTTGACATTTGCTCGTTAAAGTCTTTGCTAGGCCTGATGTTACCTGTTGTTTTAATTAAAGAAATCATCACCCGTTTTACCGCTTCTTTTCATTTTATAATAATTCAATCTTAATTGTAAAATCATTTGCTTCGAATAAAGGTGTCAGCCGATAGATACTAGATATGCTTCCAGAATCCATAGGTTCGTTACAAAATTTTGGTTGAACATTCGCAAATGATAGCTTACTTATTACAAACTTCAACAAACGCCTTAAAGTAATTCAACTAATTAAACACACAAAGACAAAGGAACATCGCTGAGATTAAAACAGTGCCAATCAGATCCCCTCTGAAGGGTACATAATACAAGCAGACTACACTTACAATGGTCTCCATTCTCAAAATTCAAGAGGCCTGGAGCTCAGAAGTGAGAACCCCTACCTCTGATATACTATATTACCTCCCATCAAGCAATCTCACACCAGGAAAATCATATTTACAGCAAATATTTCTATATTTTGTTAATGTTTGCATGCAGTTACAGACTGATGGTTACTCCTCTTGCACCATTCACGTAAGGTGAAGGTGCTGTCACCTCTGAGTACGATGACGCATGCCAACCATGCTTTGTTGGGTCATATTTTTCTCCATCACCCCAGAGAGCATATGCTTCTTCTCCGTGGACGGCATCGTCTCCAATCTCGAGCTGGTCATCGGGCATTCTTAAAGGTATAAACAGCCTTATTACTAGAAGAATTATGGTTGTGGACGCTACATTCCAAGCAATAACAAACAAGGCTGCAACTATTTGCTTCACGAATTGAATCCCTCCATTCCCACCATAAAATGCACCCCTTGTGTTGATTGGTAGTATGAGCTTGCAGAGGTCTGGTTCTGCCAATAGGCCAGTGAGAAGGCCGCCCAACAGGCCAGCCACCGCGTGCGTGTGAAAAACACCAAGAGTATCATCTATCTGTGGTCACATGAAAGCCAACAAACGTCAAGTTCAAACCTCAAAACATATGAAAAACAGTACTAATATTTCAGAAGAATTTTAGGCCTTGATTATCCAAGTGAAATTTATTATTCAACTAAAATTCAGTTTGTTACATGTCTTCTATTTGCTTATTGTATTTATGGACAGACATTGAATTGGCAATTATAGTTTCTAAACTCGCAATATATATATTTTTTGTATAAGGTAAAATAAACAAAAGAATAGCTCAATCTACTAAACTTGTTAAAGAAAAGAAACAAGAAGGATTTCGAACGTGAGAAGTGGACAAAGTAAAAGATCGAATCTCACTTCACAGAAAATCCAATGGGATCTTTTTTAACCAAGGGTAAGTGTCAATATTTTTACATATGGTCTTTTTCAATCCGTACGTAAAAAATTGTCAAGAATTATATACTCTGCGATTCAGGAATTAAGATGGAAACATGATTAAAAATGCTCATAATTCCATCATTGAAAGTGACAGGGGGTTAATTTCTAAAGGTGGGGGCCAACCTGATCATTTCGTGTCGGATAAACGATGCTTTAAGCAAGGAGAAAAGGCCAAAAAGACAAGCACCCACCCATCGGGTTATAAAGTCAACGAGCTTTATTCTCTTTTATACGGATGACTAACCAGGACGAGGAGGCGACATCTTCAATTTGAATTAAGAAAAATGGATGCAAGAAACTAATGTAAATTGCGTGGAACTTGTGTACAGCACAGGAGACTTTACAGCGATTAACTTGTATAGCATATAGTTTCTAGGGAAAAAAAACTTAGGACATCAGTCTCTCCCACGACAGACAAGGAGATGAATTTTTGTGAAGCTGACGTTTTTGTTGAGATGGTTGCTATTGTAAGTAAAAAGTTATGTTATTAAAAAAATTGAATAAAATATCATATATATATATATATATGCATATATATATATGTATCGAATTTAAAAATTTAATAGGTTTAATTTTTAAATTCAAATGATATACAATATGTATGTGTTTTTTAATGCATTTTTATGAGCGTTAAGTATGATAAATTTTTTAGTAATTGATATTAAAGCTAAAGGTTACAGGTTCGAATTTCATAGTGTTGCTGAAAGAAATTATTAACAAATCAAATATTGATCACATATATCAATTTTATGTACTCGAATATCAGTATTAGATTAAAAAATTCGACTTTGAATGCAACAAGTGTATAGAATCAAAATATTTTTAAAAAAAATATAATGTATTGAGTCAACTTGTGATGAAATATAAGGTTAAAACTATGATTGATTGCAAGCTTGAGAAGCACTGAAATTACTTAAGTAGTAAGGTTGTGTGCTGTGATTAAATACAAGTTTGAGAGATATTGAGATAACCTAATTTCACATAGAGGCAAGGTTGAATGTTAGGCTTAAAGTACACTCAAATGTAAGATTGTTTGACCTAAATGAGATGTTGATAGAATTTATTGTCATAGAAAACTAAAGTGAAACTAGATAAAAATTCACAAGTTAATAGAAAAAATTATTAAAATGATTTATATACGAGTAAAAAATTTTATATTATTAAAAAATTTAAATAAAATATCTTTAAAAAATTTAAAAATCTATTTTAAATTTAAATGGTATCTAATAGGTATATAAATTCTTTGATATACCACCATGACAAATTCCAATAATTTTGTTCCAGAGGCGATATTCAATGAAGCATCTTTCTGAAATAGCCTTAATTAATGGTCACAGCATGCAGGCTTGCAAGTTGAGGAGATAGTCAATCTTCTCGCCTCTCTTGGATTTGTGTGATGTGGCCCGGCCGCAAATGAGAACCTTTGGAGTCCTAAATTCAATGACTTTGGACATTTCCCACTAGTGCTCTTAAAGACTTCAACCCACCCACCTAATTTTTCTAGAACTCTACCCTTTGGTTCAAATTTTGTATAGATTCAATGTGCAAAGAGTGATGCGAATAATCAAACTAAGGCAACAGTTAGTCAAGCCTCAAATAGGATGGGAGCCACGTACCAGACGAAACAAAAGCTAGGACAAAAATAGTACATACCTTTTGTAGCCAACTGCATTTCTTGTGAAGGATCATCATGGATACCCATGGAATACTGCCAGAAAGCATTCCCATGACTATAGCAGCCCAAGATTGCACCAAGCCTGGAACAAAACGAACACTTTAAAGTTTTAAATTGAACGATTGCTGCAAAATTGCACTATGATTCCACAGATTCTTGTTTTTATTAAAACTTACGAACCTGCTCCTGGAGTGATGCAAACAAGTCCTGTCATCATTCCCTGAACAGCTCCAATCACGGAAGGCTTCCCAAAGAACACAACATCAAGAGATGTCCAGACAAGAAGGCTCGTTGCTGCACAAACATTCGTGTTGAGTACTGCTATTGAAGAGTCAATATTTGCAGCATATGGAGCTCCTCCATTGAACCCTGACCACCCCATCCAGAGCAACCCAGCACCTGCAAGCATCAGCAAAACATTGTTTGGGGGAAACCTTTCCCTGTCGCTCCTTAGCCTTGGTCCAACCTGTGTCATATTGTATATAATTGTAAGAATAACAAATGATATTATCAACCTTGAGAAATTTGATTATAAAAGAACTGTGATTTATGTTACCCAGTATGCAGCAGTGAGACCGGCGATCCCAGAGGAGAGGTGAATAACGTATCCGCCAGAGTAATCGATGACACCCCAGTGATAGAGAAAGCCTCCGCCCCAGAGACTAAAAGCTCCAACAGTATAGGAGAATATAAGCCATAGAGGGACAAAAGCCATCCAGGCCTTAATATTCATGCGACCAAGAACAGAACCAGCGAGCAAAATAAGAGTAATAGCAGCAAAAGTGAATTGGAAATATACTAGCGTAGCCATGGGATAAAAAGGCTCGGTGGTCTCATAGGCATCTTTGGTGACCCTGTGCCTACTCTCAGGGACCTTGGCTCGGTCAACAAGGTATTTTTGGCCTAGAGCCGGTGCACCCTTGCCCCAGAAAGGGAGGAGTTCGTCACCAAAGGCCATGCGGTAGCATAAAAGGACCCAGCAAATAAGGACCGCAGCAAAGGCATAAAGGGCCATGAAGGCAGAGTTCACGGCCCATTTCTTCTTCACAATACTCGCATACAGGATCACAAGTCCAGGCATGCTCTGAATCGCCACCAGAGTCGATGCTGTCATTTGCCATGCATTGTCTCCTTTGTTTAGCCATGGGGGCACTGCTGGAGAGATCTCGTGTGTTGTGTAGGCTACCTGACCGGCATCCATGGCTAAAATTAGCGTGAGATGCGCAGGGTTGACTCAGAAGCATCCACCTGGGCAAAATGTATTGTTAAATATCGTGTTTAACTACTCCCGAGTCTTATATATCTGTTCGGTAGGTTTTGAATAGAAGAAAGTGAATGCATTGCGGAGTAACATTTTTTTCCTTATTTTAACTTATTCTTTTTTGTAAATTAATTGGAAGGTTCGTGTCAAGAATGAAAGGTTTTTTTTTTTTTTTTTTTTTGGTGTTTGGTGATATGAATTAGACTTGTCCAAGTTGAAAATATTGAATTGGGAAAAGGTCTCCATCTTTTGACCCACGTGAATTCGACCTGAAACCGTAGCGAACTTGCTAAGCTTGGTCGGTCAATGCATGTGATACTTGAATAATGAGAACATATGATATGATGCAACTGCAATTGCAATTCCATGGTATCATGCTTACGTTCAATTTGTAGGCGCGAATCTGTGTTCAAATTCGGAGGTTTCATAGATTATTTGTTTAGGAGTGAAACAGATGTTCAAACATATTCTAAGGAACGTAGGAGCAGATAGTATATTAGTACATGAAAATTTTGCTATTCCATCTGCCAGCCTGTTGCAAATAAACCAAGGTCGTTCGATGGAAGCTTCAAAGTCATTCAAACCTAAGTCAGGTCTTTGGGGTCTTTCTAAGAAAAGGAGAAAGATTGATAACTTGGCAAGTTACCCAACTGTTTAAATAGTTTCAGATTTGTTTTTAACTTTGACAAACCAGCTCATATCATCTCTCTCAGGAGTTTGGAGAAAAACATATGGCTGAAGACTATAAGCAGTTTCTGTTGGGAAAAACAACAATACCTACGCGCAGCAACCACACACAAAATAACAAGCTCAAATCAAGAATAAGAAAACACAAATATATTTGGTTCAGCCCAACTCAAAATGGCTTACTCCAAATCTAATCCACTATCAAATAAATCTTTACAATTGTGAGACTTTTAGAATGAGAAAAGTCTCCTAAAACTCCTTACTCAAAACTTAACCCAAAACCCAATTACACCCTTTAATAGCCTACTCACTTAGCTATTCTCTTGGTGTCTAACTCTCTGAGGTTACTAAACTAAAACCAAAACATCTTATTTATAAGGGTGAAACCCTTTATACTTTTACTAAACTCCCGATGTGGGATACAAGACAAATTCAAACTTACTTAACTTTCGATGTGGGATTCTGAGATTCAAGGCAAATCCCAACAAATCCTCCCTTGACTTGAATCTCCAAACACTTCAACAGTATCTGCAAAGCTAACATGCTTACCTTTCTTCTTTTCTTTCATCACAGGCATTCCAGCAACTGAGCCTCCATCAAACATGTACAAGTGATTGACCCTATTCCCTTGTAGAATCACACTACCATTCTTGTACACTTTCAACCAATCATTACTACCATAATATGTGTACCCTCGAGAAGCTAACTCACCCAAAGCAATCAAATTGTAGTGACAATTTGGTACATACCTTACATGACGAAGTGTCCTAATAACACCATTGTGAGATTTAAGGCGAACACTCCCAATGCCTTGAATCTGCACATTTTCTTTGTTAGCAACCACAATATCCCCATACTTTTCATTCTCATTCAACTCCACAAAGCAGCTCCTATCATTGCAAACATGAACTGTAGCAGCTGAATCTAAAACCCAACCTTTGTCACTTTTCAAAGTCTGGGTCTCATCCACACAAGTTGTCAAAACAACATCATCATCATCAGACAAAATAGCAGCAGTATCACTCTTTTCTTCATCTGATTTCTTCTCATCATTCGCCCTTTTGAAAGCAGCCATATCCCTTCTCAGCTTCCTGCAGCGCACTTGGATATGTCCCTTCTTACCACAATAATAACATTCTACATCATTGTAATCTCTGTCTCTTGACTTAGATCTCCATCTTGATCCATCAATCCTCTTTTGAGTCCTCCCTCGATCAAAACCCTCTACAGCTAGTGTACTCCCCCCAGGTGATGAGTTCTGAGCTCCCATAAACCTTTCATTCTCACGCAACAGGGCAGTCACATCATCCAACTTCAAAGTAGACCTACCTACCAACACAGTCTGAACTAAAGGCCTATAAGACTTGGGCAAAGATGACAGCAAAATTAAAGCTTTCTCTTCATCTTTTAACTCATCAACAGAAATCGCTAGCAATTGAGAAACCAATTTATTAAATTCATTCAGGTGATTATGAAGACTCATACCTTCTTCCATCTTCAGAGAATACAGATCCATCTTCAAACATAATCTATTAGTCAATGACTTCGAAGCATAAATACCTTCAAGCTTATCCCACAAACTCTTCGGAGTACTCTCAGTCAACACACTGTACTTTACTTCTGGAGCTAACGCCAATCTAATAGTACTAACAGCCTTCTTCTGAATCCTATTCCAATTAGCATCAGACATTCCTTCAGGCTTACTACTCTCCAATGCCTGATCCAATCCTTGTTGTACTAACAGATCTTGAATCGTACTTTGCCATAACATAAAATTACTCTTTCCATCAAATAACGGAATCTCAAACTTAGACATAGACATACCAGACATACCTTCTTCAGACATCTTCAAACACTGCTTCACGATCTCTTGGACCCACGAACCTCGAACCTCGCTCTGATACCACTTGTTGGGAAAAACAACAATACCTACGCGCAGCAACCACACACAAAATAACAAGCTCAAATCAAGAATAAGAAAACACAAATATATTTGGTTCAGCCCAACTCAAAATGGCCTACTCCAAATCTAATCCACTATCAAATAAATCTTTACAATTGTGAGACTTTTAGAATGAGAAAAGTCTCCTAAAACTCCTTACTCAAAACTTAACCCAAAACCCAATTACACCCTTTAATAGCCTACTCACTTAGCTATTCTCTTGGTGTCTAACTCTCTGAGGTTACTAAACTAAAACCAAAACATCTTATTTATAAGGGTGAAACCCTTTATACCTTTACTAAACTCCCGATGTGGGATACAAGACAAATTCAAACTTACTTAACTTTCGATGTGGGATTCTGAGATTCAAGGCAAATCCCAACAGTTTCTGAGAAGAAGCAGAATTGCTTTGTAATACTATATACTTGCTATTCTTATAAAATATGAGACTCGGAAAAAAGATTATTTATGTTATATTCAACAAAATTAGCCTAATATATTGATTGACAATTACATGGAAACAAGAAGGCATCAAATCTTGGTCACTGATTTGCTGATGCTTATGCAATTTTGAACCCGATGGAAGCACAACTATTATGCTGCATTAATCAACGCTCTTTGCAACTGTTGAAAGTCAGGGAGATCGCCAGCGAAACATGGAATCCGCCGGTAGATAACCGAGGCTGCTCTAATAAGAATGCTTGCAGTCAAACCACATATGGTAAAAGCTCCTTGCTCCGTTTCGAAGTCAAAACAATGGAAAACATACTTCCAACTATTCCATTCCCTTTCTTCAGATCTATGATTTTCTTCCTGCAGAATAGCAGAATATAAGTTAGTTGCAAAATCCTGAATCTCTTCATCAATGGTAAGGGTTGCAATAATATGAATGTGATTTTCCGAGTTAATTTTGACAGGTTGGCTAATAAGTTGATAGAATGACAGTCGCTATATCCCCAAGTCCCCCCTGTTTTCAATTATCACTACCCTGAATCTAAAGAATGGATTTAGGAAAGTAATTATCTTTTTGCTGCCTTTTTTTTGGTTTTGATTCACCGCCTTTTCTCTTAATAACCTTCCTTCACATTAATTGTTTCAATTGCCATAGCAATTGTATGTGATTATGGGAATATATATTCAGGAACATTCGCTGCCCATTTTCAACTTAATTAATTGACCAAATTCTGGACCTTGAGAAACATTTCCAGTGGGACATCAAAAACAGCATCAACCTCTTCACAGTTAAGCACAGGCCTAAAGTCTTCAATCTTGGCAAGTAGTCCTACCACTGGAACAACCCTGAGTTGGTTCTGCATGAAGTTTAGATTTAGATTTTAGACTTGCATCTACAGGGGAAAAAAAAAGCCTATTAAAAATTGTGAATTTCACAATACCTGAGAGATGAAGGGCTCTAAATTTGCAACTACTTGAATCAAACGTGAGTCCAAGCCAATCTCCTCCATAGCTTCTCTTAATGCAGTAGCAGAGTCATCCGTATCTCCTTGATCCATTTTTCCTCCTGGCAATGCTACATCTCCTATTTCCTTAAAAGAAAAATGCTTCAGGATTTTTGACATGTTGAAACTGGCACAAGTTACGTCTATGAAGTTCTCTCTTTGAGAAGAATTCAAAATTTTTGTTGCTTCAAACATGGTATAACAATTATATTAACATGTTTCAATCAAGAAATAAAAAAGCATTCAAGTGCAGGTCAAAACTGGAATTATTTGTCAATGTTACCAGGGTGAGATGACAACTTCATAGATCTCTTGGTAAGAATAACGCGTAGATCGCCTTGGTAGCCCTCAAAGAGGCATATCAAGACAGCTGCTCTCCTCTTCCTCCAGTTTGCACAAGTAAACTGCTCATTTTCACCTTCTAGAGGATCAGTGATTCCAAAATTAGAACCGATATTACGACCGTTAGTGTTCTCCAATTCTTCAACCCGACTAGATGGTTTGTAACATTGAAGCTGTTCTGCAAGTCTTCGGAGCGTTTGGGGTCCCAAATCCTCATTTCTTTGGCATTCCATCGCCCTGCTTATGCATATAGGTGGACCAATACTGGCCACACGAGAGTTTGATCCTAGTCAAGTTGTTTACAAGTTCTGTAACATATATACAGAACTATCCTGGAGGAAAATCACATATCTTTGATTCCAAGTTTTGAATTAGGTGGACATGCCTTTCATGCAAGATTGAGTAATGATGCTCGAACAATTATGATTCGAATCTTCCCCACTAGTAGAATTGACGTTTAAATTTGTGGGAATGTCTAGTTCAATGAAATAACTTAATCTGGAAATGCAGTTTTTAGGAGCATTCACTGAGAATGAAAGAAAATAACTGATCGAAGCAAATGATATAAAAATGACAAGCTAGTTTGGAAACCGATTTAACTCATTCTCACCGAAAGCATATTCGTTGGAACACTAGAATACGAATGGAATTCTAAACCAGTAGGAAATTTGTCCAAGTTGCAGCTGCATCTATACGTGCTCGTCCCAATTGTCGTGATCCTGACTCGGGTAAAGTTATTGTTGGGCCTATTAGTCCATTAAAGTCAAATTTGTGAACTTGTTTGCTTCGGAAACAACATGGGTTTGGCCTTGGAACTGATTATATAGGATGGGCTTATCTCATATCCAGAACAAATATTTAAACTAGACTCAAACCCAATAGGAAGAGAAGACACCTTCCCTGCATAATGACAACCCAAGAATCCAAACAAAAGAAGAAAGAGAAAGAGCTGGAGAAAGATTTGTAGTATGCCAATGTACGGCAGAATAGATCCATGGATCATAGCCATTGTAAATCATAGGTCTTGAACCTTCAAAGAGTCAAGATGAAGAAAAAACAGAAAAGATGACGGGTCTGACAGCCATTGGGGAGTTTTGTAAAGCGTGATGTAAAATGGTTAAAAGGCAATTGAGATTCTTCTGTCTAAGCTGCTAGCAGGGAGGATGTTTTATTTTTCTCGTCTCATTAATTAGTAGGTGCCTTGTGTTTATTGCCTCCAATGATTTTGAAGTATTGGAGAGAATATTGTACGCTGTTATGTGTTTGATTACTTAGCTTGTATAGTTCATATTTAAACAGAGAAAGAGGTTGGAATGATATGTAATCTGTCCTACCACCGACAGAAAACAAAGTAAGATTCTAACTGTCCCTTGCCAATTAGAAAATATTTGTTAGTTTATACAGCTGGCTAGCAACCAATGGTCTGAAAGTTGACATTGATGAGGGAAAGTAGTAGGTCCCAAGAAAATTAGGATTCCTTAACGAGATGAGAACATAACTGTAGTACTTTCGTTATTTTCTACTTCTCACTTCTCAGCCCCGTCCGCCTGGAAATCATTATCGGGATTATCGCTGTCGTAGGTTAAAGTACTTGTCTAATCATCATGTACAATAAAATTTTGTGGCCATGCTTCTACAGTTTCTTACGGCATGGGTCTCACTTAAATTTTGGAATCATTCGGATTAATTGATTGGTTGATCGATTTTTGGCTGCAAATTCTTTACTTTAGGTGACTGATGTGGGCAAACCACATCAAAAGGTTTATCGATAAGAAAAAGAAAGTAAAAATTGGATGATATCATAAGGTAAAACGGGGTTCAGAAGGAAGCTTGATTGAAGTTTGAGATGAAAATTGTAAATTTTTAGAAATTTCATTAACTGAAACTTATATACTTAGTTATAAGGTGAGAGATCAATTATGGAACCTCCCACATATATAATATAATTACAGATATTTCATAATGGTTCTCGACATAAATTAATTTCTTATCATATCAGGGAAAAGAAAGGCCGGTGAAATGATAATAAAAGATGAAAAATCTATCATGAGATCACCAACAAAGAAGAGAATAGATAATTAAACATTACCCCACTCCAATTTTGTCATATAAGGTGGACCTCTTGAGGCCTGTCTGTCGGAAAGACATTGGACAAGCACCCTTTGTTTTGAATGTTAAGTCGTTGCTAGATATAGGACATATTGTCATTTTCCAATTAATTGGAATTATGCTATTTCATTACATGAAATAACATACACGATGACTTAACCAATAATTATAAACTAAAGATTTCTTAGATGCATATATACATCTAAATCACACAAATTAAGGACTGCACATCCCTAACTACTCAATATTTGGTTATTTCTTCTTTCTTTCACACGTCCCTACTCCATATCAATCATCAATTTGTTTTTCTTCATTTCATTTTTTTTCCAATGTATAATTATAAAAATAAAAATAAAACTTTTTTTTTTTGCTATACTTTGGTTATATCATCTTCTTCTCTATATATACATACTATAGCTGGGAATAGACGCAGGGGTATATATCTTTGCAAGTTTACAAGTTTTTACAGAAGCAATTAACTTGCTAGGTCTATAAGCTGCTAATATCTCCATTATTTATAGAGACTTTCATAGCTTCTTCTACAAAGATTCCCTCCTTATAGATAATAATTAGGTATTTCATGATGATTTTCACCATAAATTTTTGGGAAGGGGTTAGTGCTGTTTTTTCAAGATTTATTCCTAAGAATTGCTCCCTTTAATTTGTTTCATTAAGGAGTATTTTTGGGAAGCATATAGCTTTGAATATTTGAGGCCAAGCCATGGTGCCAAATCATGATTCACAAAGAACAGGCCAAAACAATACGCAAGTTAAACAAGTCATGGGTAGGGATAGGGGGAGGCCACGTCGCTCGCCCTTATGCTCTTGATAAAAATTAAGTATGACATTGGCACTGTTTCCTCGTTATCCTAATTGTATACCAAACAATATTCTTGACTGTTTAAACAATGACGCACCATTTATCACGGCTTCCACGCATAAATAAATACTCATGAAAGAAATATTTAACTCTATGAATCTTATTTAAAACCCTCTGATATCAGCCCCAGCCCTTTAGCTAAACCTACATATAATACACCATTGATTCCCATATGGCTAGTCCTCCTCAACTATCATCTTCCATGGCCCCTTATGGTCCTCAACAAGACGATCAACTTCTTTTCTCTCGTGATAAAAACTTCGCTTTGCATGGGGAGATTATGATGTTTATTTTTCTCCTAGTTTTTGCTGCCTTTATTTCCTTTCTGCTCTTCTTCCTCTACATAAAAGGCTTCCGCAGTAACGCTAGTCTGCAAGAATATTCAACCGAGCAAGTGTAGCCCTATAAATTCTCCGGTGTCCATCGGGCCAAGGCCCAGTTCGTAAGGGGTTCAAAGGTGTTGATGAATCGACCTGTGTAGCCAGCCAATGGTACGGTATCAAAGTTATGAATATGTGTATTTTGGAGTTTGGGTTCCTCTCCTCCCCTGTCAGTTCTCTCTTTCTCGACTTCACGGAGGAGGGCCGGCCACCAGGGATTCATTGCGACATATCCTGCAGGTAAGGATAAAATCCCCATGAGGTGGCAGCTACGGTCTGGTGGATAGTAATTGTTGGATGTAGAAATTAATTAAATCTAGCCAGCTGGAGGGAATAGAGGTCGATATTCTATGCATTTAACATATGCCATTTTAATATAGTTTACAAGTCTAATTAGTTTAGAATTTAATTTATAAATCAAAACTCAACTTGAGATTAATTTGACTTCATTGGCTTGATTTGCAATATCAAAATAGTTCTCTTAACAAGTAGCTCATATGGCCTAATTTGATTTTCTTTTTTTTTTTTTTTGTTGAGAAGTCTCCATCATCAATTAAGGATTAGCTACATGATTTCAGAATAGATCAGTGACCATTTTTTTTTTTTTGTGGGAAAACACCCCAAAACAAAAAGTTTAATAAGTATTTGGTAAAATCTTTTCTAAAGTTCAGCAATACTAATATAAAGAATTCATCTATGTTTTTTGTTAAATTTCATATTGTTTTTAACAATAAAGATAATCATTATACGTTAGTTCTAAATATTGTTAATTTCAACATTTTCTGATCATGAATGCAATATTTTAGGGATATAAGAGCTCAAAGAAAAAGAATTAAGAAGAGAAATAAGAAAAAATGAAAATGCCTTTTCTGTCTTTCTTTTTCGGCCTAACAAAAATGAAAATTGTACATTTCACGAGATTTTGAGGAGGAAATAGAAGGGATAAGAAATATTTTATTTGGTGTGAAACCAAACTTCTCTTGGTGAATATCGGATTGAGGGCCTGTTATGGGCTGTATCCTTGTCTATTGTCTGGAGTAAGGGGAATTCTCACTGAAGCTTTAATTGTGAGTTTAAAAAATTAAATGTACATTTCAATAAAATATTTAGAATGAAATTTTATCTCAATCAATCTGACGAGGCACACGTATTTTATTTTATTTTATTTCTTAAAAGATTAACTCGGTTGGTTGCACTGATTAATAACGTATAGATTAGTATATTGGCCCACCATTAGTTCATACATTGCAAGCCCGTTTAATCTTTGGCATGTCTTTCCATATTCCAATAATAGTTTCATTTTCTTCTTTCTTAATTTGTTTTGTTTTCTTTTTATTTGTTGTGTATTTAATATGCAATTTGGTAGCAGAAGCACATTCAATCAGCCAATTTTTTAATTTCAATTGGAATGAAAATTATGATGGGAAAATGTTAAAAATTAAACTTGAAAATTAGCTTAATTAATTTATTTAATTACTCTTAAGACATGACATTAATAAATTTAAAGTTTGAATCTTAACACTTACAATCTCTTTTTTCATTTCGAAATTGCAATTTCTTTTGTGTTAAAAAAAAATGTTAACACTTGCAACTTTTTTTGATAGACGATATCCTCTTTTATATAAAAAAAAATAAAACTTAGCAGTTCTCCTTAAAAAGATTGAACTCCAAAGTTTGAATCTCTTCTCTTCTTAGACTTTCTCAAAATGAATAAAAAAAAAAACTAAAAACATCCATGTATCTTTGCTGTAAGTAATAATTTCTTTTTAATTATAATTTTAAAAATATTTAGGATGAGTTTGTTTTTACTAAAAGCCAAGACACCTGCATTGAAGAGGGTAGATAGAATTACCATTTATTTAGCCAAGTTGTTACAGCTTGTTATAGATAGACTTACCCCATATATATATATATATATGTGTATGTATGTATGTATAAATATATTCTACTTATAAAAGACTTTGTTATCAATGCCTTGCCAGTTATAGAGAAGCTAACCACAAATATATAATGGTTTCAAAGCAGGATACTCTTATATAGAGCAAAGAATATAGAACCAATCTTAGAAATTGAAGGTCTTTTTAAGTGAGAAGACACAAAATTAACAGTACGGCTGGTTATCCCTTCAGATTTTTATGGCTTTCATTTATTTCTGTGCTAAATTAGATAAGTACTGTAACTTTTGCCTTGCAGGTGGCGTATTGCTCATTGCTCAAGAAATATCGCTACGCCTCCAAAGTATCAAAATTCTCCAAGTTAATCCTGATCAGACGATGAGCCCAGAGAGGAGCTATTCATCCTCTTCCCTTGACATTTTGGAGTTGACGAGGTCCATCCAGGTCACTGAATCCAGCTAGCAGGGCTTCATTGGACCAAAGATATGCAAGTGATTCCCGGCCCTTACTGAACAAGCCTTATTTGGTTGAACACTTGTACCAGGATCTTTTCAGAGCTCCAAGGGTGCTCGAAACTCAATGGAGGTACAGTGATGGAAAGGCTATCGATAAAAACATAAAAAAATCTGAGGATTCATCAACAGCCTCGTCTGTCATAACAAAGGCCCATAGCCAAACTGAGCCACAAATATGGGGTCGGAGCCTTGATCCTAACATGGACCCCAAGATCAAACGGTGGACTTGCCTATTATACTATATATACTAGTATTTATTTATCAATTTTGTAGACTGCTTGCGAACAGAGTTTTAGCTCAGAAGTCGCGGCTGAGCAACCTGGAATACATAGAAAAACTAAAAAATGATATAAATACTGAACAAGTAGTTGAAAATTCAATGTTTTCCTATATATATGATTAAAAATTGAATATCCTATAATACCTAATACATTATAAACTCTCAATCTCCTTCCATTTGTCATGTTCTATTTAGGTGACATTTGCAGGCCAGAGTATCGTTGATAGCTCCACAGGTTGCTTTCTATGAACTTCAACGCATGATATTGCAAAAAGAAAGGATGGAAATTCTTGAGACAGAAATGGCGAAAAAAGAAGGCGGATTAGTAACTTTATCTGATCATCGTGCATTATGGAGGAGCACCTATATTCTAGACTGATCAGTTTATCTTTTCTTCATTTTTCTTTTCTAAGTTCATTAGCAATTGAGACATTGAGTAGCTAAGCCTACTTCTGGTTGCAGCTGAATTCTAAACATTGAAGGACGAGAGAGACATGCTTGCCTCCACCTATTTCCTGATGCTAGAAGGCATTTAGAAACAATAAAGCTATATAGATTTGGATTGCAAGATCCAATATTGAAATCAAAATCTCAGGACCCAACCTGTTGCATTAATATTCATAAAGTTGTTAGTTTCCTTTCTATTTTCATAGTGCAATTCACTTTAAAATAATTTCAAATAAGTGAAATCAAGCAAGCTTTCGAATCATTAGAATTATGTTTAAGGCCATAATGGATCAATGGAGGTTCCTGCTCTCTCTCTATATATAGCAGTTTTACTTCTATCTCGATGAATCAATATGAAGCCATTCATGCAACTTTTGGGAAAACATATATAGGACCCTCTGCCCCAATTTCTTGCAAGCTAGACATGGCTCGTCTTTTTTTGTTAGCAAGAACATGAATCTGGAATTGTAGCATGTCTTGTTTCGACATATTCTAAATTCAATTTTCATTGGGGCAGATAATGCACAAGAAACGACAGAGAATCATTATAAAAACAAAAAGTTTATTATATCAATTGCTGTAATATTGGTACAATACAATAAGGAAAACCTTCCTCTCGGATAAGTACCTCAAGATCTCACTTAGAATTGTCCCATTCATATAGTCAGATCTAGAGTACTTACCCTTCTTGCACTCTTCTTACTATGATCTTCTCCTTTCAATCTGCTAAGCTTTGAGGATGACGGTGAGTACAATGACAGAGATAACTCACTGACAATATCGCCTTCCTTGGAACTTCTCTGGCTTTCTTCGTTCACCTGCGTTAGCCGTAGAGATAAATCCAAATCGAGGTTGCAACATTCTGAAGTCTTTCTTTTCATCGTCTTAAAGTCTTGTGCGTTAGTTTTGTATAAATCAGAAGGGCAGCTTCTGCTAAAATATTTATGATCTTCTCCTTTAGCTTGCATTTGGTTTGTGGGGTTGAGCGCAATTGGGTCTAATCTTGGCTGGTTTTGGAACGATTCAAGATTGTGAGGTGATGAGAATTCATTCTTCAGTTCATGGCTTTTCCAGCTAGATATTGCATTGAAAGGGGAAGTGCCCATCCTGAAATTGTAATTGGTCCTGTTGCTACTGTTACTGCCAAAGATCCTCTCTGTCACTGTTCCATTCAATCCTGGTCTTGCTTCATAAATGAAACGACTGCTTGTATAAGGATTACGCATCATGCACCCGCGGCCATTCCAGAAAGCATCTCCGTATCTTGAAAATAAGTGAAATTTTGCGTAGAAATTAATTCCATATTTGAAATAGTCTAGTACGTACATTAATCGTTAATTTTGGTACCTGAAACTACTAGAACTATCGCCTTGATGATGGTTATTGTATCCTTGCAGCATGGGAAGTTGACTGAGATTATAAATATTTCGATCTCCACTTTCCACAAGATGCCTATGATCGCTTATGACTGTCATGTAAAGTAAACTTGTCTGCATTAGGGACGACCATTGATCGAAAACCTAATATCAATTCAATGGAAAAGAAAAAAGAAAGATAGAGAAATTAAAGTACGAAACCTTGTCCTGGATCATCAATCTTCTTGGTTCTATACATCTGATGAGAAATACCGAAAGGTAGACAAGGAAAATATTGTTAAAAACAAAATCAAACAATTTCATTCTATCAATGAATATAAAATGAGAAAATATTAGCTATTTTACTAGTTTCTATATGGTCAAATTAATAACCTGTAGATGGCTCTTGACATGTGCGATGCTAAGTCCTTTTATATTCATCAGTTGAAGAACCAACTTTGGGGTAGCTTCTGTAAGTCAGAAGATCATCTTTTCTAATTAGTTAATTACCACCAAATTAGATCAGACTTGAGATTGGTAAGGGTAGAAATGAACTCACTGTCTTGTCCACCGAGTCTCTCTACTGCGAGAACAAAACGAAGGTGCAGATCGGGTGTCCAACGGAGCCTTGGCATCTTGGATCTGACATAAGGCCTTACGGATGGCTTCTTCTCATTCTCTTCCACCGTGCTGTTGCTTGAGCTTCCCCCATTTCTAGGCTTACTTTCACCATCATTTTCCTCACTCTCACTCTCAGCCTGATTATGTTTTGATGGGCTTGTCTTTGAACATTCCCCTGCACTATTTCCCTCCATCTTTCCAGCTAGCTTCCTCTCTCTATCATCAGTATCCAAGTCTAGGAATCATAGCACAAAATAAGAGACTAAAAATACAAAGGGCTATGAACATGGAGGCTTAAAATTAAGCCATATACTATTCTAACTTGTAACAAAAAGTAGGGTGTAGCTTTCTTGGTTGATCAAAATAAGCTTATTTTATTTTCTCCTATTGCAGACGCAAGACAGAGAGAAAACTAGGTGAAAGGAAGCATCAAACCCCAAGCAAAGCTACAGGTCTTTGAACAGAGGTGAGGATATGGGAAACCCTAGATCTTGACAGGGAAGACAGACAAACCAGTTTTCTTCTGCCCTACCTTCTTTCTCTTGGGAACGGGACTAGTAAACAATAATATGTACTCATATCCTTACGTATATATTAGGAATATATTATATCGTCCATGCCATGCAACACATGTTTATGCATGGATGGATGTCAAGTCATGCATTGAAGTATATATATACGGTGTGTAATATATATATATATATATATATATATGGACCAATACATACATATATAATATATATTCCCCTCATGTGGGTTTCTTTCATGATTTAACTACATCAGAAATTACTCTTTTTTTTTATAACACTAGAAATTACCCTTAGAAACGCATTAATTAAATATAAAATAATAAGTAATACTAATATGAAAAAAAAAGAGTTTGACAGGTCTATTAGCAAATGCAATGAGTATGAAATAAGGGTGTCTTAGTAATTTGAAACCCGAAACAAATTAATTAGAGATATGCATCTTACTATTTTAAGAAATTAGAAAATTTATTATTATATATAATTGTGAGTTTATATTTAATGTACTATTAATATATAAATTTTATATACCGTTAACAAATTAGAGAATGTCCTTAATATAAAGTAAATTAGATGAAAATATCTCATTAATGAATAAGTTTTTTTTTGAAAAAAATATTAATATTTATATATTTATTTTAAGGATTAATATTTATTCATCAATAAAATATCATCACTTGATTTATTAATATTGTATAAAATTTATACATTAACAATACATCAAATATAAATTCTTACTACTATTATTTTATCAATTTTAAACTTGTTTCGTTGGAATCTAAATTGAACACTACTTACTCCAAAGTGGACTTTTGTTCTTATTAATTTGTCCCTGGGCTAAATGAAAGAAAAGACTTTCGTGTAACTGATGATGGCTGCCTGGTTGAAATTGTTCCCCACCCTACCTAAAATGCAAACCCTTTTTTATTTGTTATTCCATGAGAATAATTCTCCCTATAGTTGACAAATAATATTTCAAGATATTCCCCTTCCTATATATATACACAGAATCATTTACAATGAACTAAATGCAAAATTGCTCAAATTAACACTCTGTTCCGTAAAAAAAAGTTATTCAGTGATTGAATTGTATAATAATATATGTTATTTACATTAAAAAAAAATTTTGTCCGCTTCCTTTCTTTTGTATCATATAAGAAAGTTAAGCAGCAACATATAATATTGAAAGATATTATTATATATATATATATATATATCGGTTTAAAACGATTGAAAAATGTACTTATGAAACTTTGATTGAAGTCCAACTTGGCTTCCAATATGCAAGGAGATTTTGAGGAGTTGGGAGGATAATTAAATTAAGTAGTGCAGGAAGAAATAAAAGCTGAAAGAATGAGCAGACTGAGGTTGAGGGCGGGGGGTTGATGGGTCTGTCTGCTGCATGTGCATGTGTGTGAGCTAGTTTGATGGTAAGCTGTAGCTGATGCAGACTCAAACTCAAAAGATGATTATGAAATTGCCTTTCCAACGGGAATCACGGGCTTTGCTCCTCCTCGGTCTTCGAGAAGTGAAAGGGATCGGAGTATAGAATATTTAGGGCACATAATTCATTACCCTTTCCAAATTTTAAAATGCATGTTGAGGTTTCAAATAAATAAATAAATAAAATTTATATTTGATATATTATAAAATTATATTATTTTGTTAATAAATATTTTAATTTTTTTAAAGCTTACTCGTTAACAAGTTATATATTTATCTCATTAATAAAAATAATATTATTTTATTCATTAATAGTATATAAATTTATATATTAATAATACATCAAATATAAATTCAAATAAAAAATTACTCTTGTTTATCTAACATGACCAATATTATTTTGAAAATGCTAACAAGCAAAACTTATTAGCAATTAATTTTCAAGCATTAGAAAACTAATGGAGGACCAATGCTGCAAGTAGATATTCCAACAAATACCGAAAATTTTGACCAATTTTGCCAACAAAGGTCTATTTGATGTTCAAACTTTAATGCTAGCTAATTATAAACTTATAATTTGTCTAGTATCTTGGTTTGTTCCACATATAGAGTTTTTTTATTGGGAATAGTAACTCAAATCTTATAAAAAATTTGATTGAGATTTTTTTAAAATTGATTAAATATTACTTGATAAAGAAAAAAAATTGTAAAAAAAGAATTAAAAAAAATTTTATAGGAAAGTTAATATATTTATAAATAATGGAAGTCTCCAAGAGTTAAATACGAGAGAAAAATATAAAAAAATTATAAAGTTTATTAGATAGACACCTATAAAACTATGGGAGAATGAGAGCATTTTTATGAATGTGTATACTTGAATATTTGTAATGGATTAAAAAAGAATGAGATGATTTGCATATGTATAATGATTATTATGTTTGTTTGAGTGGATTAAAAGAGATTAAAATGGTACACATGGATATATGCTTATTTGGGATGAAAATACTTAATATGACTAAAGGAGAATGTTTATGGGTATTGTTTGGAATTAGGTGTTAATGATTTATATGTTTGTAATTTTTTATAACTAATTAATTTTTTCTGTAATTTGTGGAGGTTAGCAAGTTGAGTGTCGAATCATATTAAATTATTATTTTTTATATATAAATGATCGATGATTTGATTATACTTTCGATGACTTAATTGTTTAATTGGATTGGAAACTTTTGAAGTATCAATCTCCTATAGAAGAAAAAAAATGGAGCATTAATTTGTTCATTACTATAGGTTTTGTAAATTCCTTTCCGTTACAAGCCAAAGCTAGGGTTTCATCCATCCATATATAAAACCATTGACCATTAATTATTTTAATTATCGATCACATATAAAACCATACTATGAATCGATTGTCTAAAGATGATAAATATTAAGAAACCTTGAAGTCCTAAAGCCTCAAATTCAAGCCCCCTACAACAACAAAACCAACCACCAACTTCCAATCCTCCCAACTGCTCCCCCCCCCCTCCCCCAAAAGAAAAAAAAGAAAAAGAAAAATGATTCCTTTTAATGTATGGAAAAAGGTAGAAAAAAGGAAGGAAAGAAAAAGAATGTAAGAATGCACCCAAAAAAAATGCATAAACAAGAGGCATGTAGTGTTTTGAATGAAAGGTAGATTTATGGGTTATCAGGGAACTTTTTCATTCCTCCGACGTGTTACTGGGCATGGAACTATGGCTATATGACACATACTTACTGCGATATATGACAAGGCCAGGGTTCTTCCAATTCCCTTTAAATTAATTGTGTCGTTCCCATCATTCACAGTGAACTTGCCTACACATACATTAAGGATGACTCAACTTTCGGAAGCTCTTATTTTCCTATATATTTTCACAACAAATTTGTTTTACTTAATTAGTCCTTCTTTATTTTTCACTTTTTGGAAACAATATTATAATTTGGATTATTTACACAGAATCTCAAATGTATATAGCTCAGCCTATCTATAGAAACACATGCTATTCCGCAATTATATATATGTAATTAATAATTTCTTAAGCTCAGCTTCTGTCTATTAGATCCCTAGCTAAGATATATAATAACAAGTAGTTGATTTTCTTTTGTTGTTTTTCTATATTATCATGTTATTAATATATTATTAATTTGACAAAATGACGGTGCTCGCTCTAACTTCGATTCCTTTGAACTAATTAATCGATACAAACAAAACTGTTAGTTTAAACAAATGAGCACCAATACTATACATTTGCAAACTAAAGAAGTGCAGTAGGTCAAAACAGCAAGCAGCTTCTCAAGGAAACTCCTAAACAACCCTTATTTTCATCTCCACACCACACAGCTTTGGGTCCATTTTAATGGTAATTTGCCAACATTCTAGAGGCACATGAAGTTTTTTTCTTTTTTCTTTTTTGTTTTTACGTTTACCATGCACATCAAAAGGGGAATAAAAACTTTATTAGTATTTGAGATCTATCTAATAATATATAATTATTATAACAAGGAGGAGCAACAGCTTAAGAGGACAGCTGCAATATTATTTATACCCCAATTGAAAAGGAACAGAGAGGCGATCGAGGGGTGAGAGGGAGGGGATGGCCTGTGTGAAGTCAACCCTCAACACTAATAATTTTTATGCTATTTTTTCTTATCTTTTTAGTATTTAATTACAATTTTTATTATGTTATTCCTATAGTTTAAGTTTGCAATGCGGATCTGTCATGATTTGAAAATGTGGATGTCTGTCTGTCTTTTTATAGATGTAACTCTGACATCTAGTAATTAATTAGATTTAATATCCATCAATCCTTATATATGGAACGAGTAACCATGCCATATGATCATGAACTCCATGCATGCCTCTTTAAAATAAGAAGCAAATTGTTATTATTATTTTCATGTTTCAAAGAAGCTTCACGTACGACTGCTAGCTCGAATATTATTAATTTCATATACTCTCCGGCATTGATTTATTTGGTATGGTAGGTGAAGATTATTCTATTCTCTCCCAATTAATTCTCAATCTAAACTTTAATAAATTAATAATTAATGCATGGTCTACAACATGCCATGCAAATTTATTAAACTGAAATGACAATAAATAGCTTACAATATTTATATATAGTAGATAGGACTGATGTTTTCAACAAAGTCCTGCGATTCTTCACTGCAAACTAAGCCAATGGGCCCTAAATATATAAATATATATATATATATATATATTTAGGGATATCAACATTAATTAATTTCTTTTTCCCCTTTTTATTCATTTATTTATTTTTGGGATGGGATATATTTTATTAATGTAAATAAATACATGCATACAATAATACTGATAATTAATATATTTTTTTGAGAGAAAGCATATGTTCGATTACGCCATTCATTA